AGTAAAGTTCAGACAAAATTCTCACCCCTACCAACTGGTATAGGACTTGCTTAAGAAGAGGGTTTAAGTCACACCTTGCTAGCCAATTCTGCACTTCAGGAAGAAATTAAGGTTTATATCTAGAACCTGGGAGCCTTAATTCAAAAACAAGCTTGCCTTGTTAGCTAGCTGAGATGTTTCAAAAGTTCACAGCTACTCTCCTGATGTGCAAATTAAAAGCAGAAAAAGAGAAGAGTCTTTCATACAGAGAACTGTGCAGCTGAAGTGGTTTCTAGATGCAGGTAGTTAACTACCAAGTAAAAAAAAGTCACAATAGTATTTGTGAAAGCAAGATAACCCGGCTTGTTTTGCTGCATTCAAAACAGGAGGTTAAAAAGCAGCAAGAGCATGGGTCTCAAACGAGCAAAATACCAAAGCCTCCATTATCTTGAGGTAGGAAAAAAAAAAAAAAAGTGTTATTTAACATAATATAGCAGTTAAGTTGAGCAGTGGAAGATTTTTAGAGTGGCTTCATGGATCTTTGCAAAAGCCCTACAAGCCCAAGCAGTTTTCCCACTCGAGCAACTAGATGCTCTCTAGACTCTTTCCCCAATTATACTATATCCAGCTTTGAGAAAAATAGCCAGCTTTACAGTTAAAAATGCCACTGTGGTACCAAGAAGAATCTTATTTAAACGAAACCTATTCCCTTCCATTAGGGAAGTAGACTTCTAGATTGCAGTGGCTTGTAACAGCAGAAAGGGATGTAGCCAAAGTGGTTTATTTATTTATTTTTAACTGCCAATATGGCTTGTTATTTTACCATTACTTCTCAGTCTACAAGTCTGATGCCTTTTTGCGGCTTGCCGCCCACCACTACATAAAATACCAATGATGCGAGACTTCACAAGTAAGCAGCTCATAAACAGCCAGTGCTGTTCCAATAATCCTATGCATCTTCTGGGTAAACCGTCTAAGATTTGACTCCTCAAACCATATATTCAGCCCCGAAAAGTCTTTCACTTGCATTTAGTTGTTCATAGCAAGTCTGCTATACAAGAAGGAAACCTAGTAGCTGATAGCTATCTACAGTTCAAGCTATTGCCACAAGTCTGACCCAGATAGAAACAGGCACCCCAGTAAGAATACCCCAGCTCATTTACACTTCTCCCCCCCATCCCCACACCTGTGGGGAAGTCAGTCCTCCCTCAC